TTTCTGGTCCTAGTCTGACACGCTAACCCAAATTCTTGACCATGCATTTACATGGCCTTCTTCTAACACCTTCCTGCTGGCTTGAATCATCAGTGGTACAAGCATAACTCTCTGATCAGGTGGCTTTTTAGTAATTTTATTAGTAAAAAGACTGATAAAAGCAATTAGATCCATTTGTACAAGCTGAAGTTCAAGCCAGCTGGCAGAAGGTGTAAGAATTACGGCCCCACTGTGAACATGTTAAACAATTCCCCACTTGATTAATCTTGCCACAATGGAAAAGCATAAAGGACCAGAGTCTTTCTCCCATTACCACCGAATAATGAAGACTTTTCTAATTTTAATGAAATTATCTCCTTGATACAAATTATCACCACTCTGCCTAGGCATATACAAGACTTCAATAAATACAAAGGCTATTGAGACACAGTACCTATCAACTGTTTATGAATCAGGATGGCCTTCCTTAAAAAAAGCATCCAGGCAAGTTGCAGTATGATCTTGACTATGGTTAGGCTTAACATAGGTGTGTCCTCATTTGTGTAAACACGAGCAGCTACCAGTATGTGTAATCAACCATACGAATACAGCAGAACAACAGAATTTGGTTTAGGAGTTAACTCAAGGAAATAATACAAGTAGACAGCTTAAGCTAACATTTAATACTGTGCACACTTGCTATGGTGCCACACAGAAGTTGAAATTGGGCCCAATGATCAACAGCAATTCATAACTATATTTCCCATTACATAGCTAAACCCAAAAATATCCAGGATGAGTTAGCAAAGTAAATTAAGGACCAGGTGGGATTGACTTGGGTGTGGGGGGGAGTGTTTGATGGTGCTAGGGATTGAACTCAGTCTAATGCATAGTATAAACTCCAGACCCCAGAGCTTGGCCTTGATTTTTTTCAAAAGAGGAGTGTACCTCTGTTTCTACAATCTGGCTTATCCTGGTGGGAGATAAGTGGTGGCAAGATATGAGCTGCCACTTCAAAGGAGAAACTAGCATCTCTCTTCAGTAGTGAAAAGACCAGAATTAGCACCTTTGCCCTTCAGGTTACACACAAAAAAGGTGACAAGGTGGAAAGAAGTGAAATAGAGATGATAGAGGAAAGGGACCAAATTGCTCTCGAATCACTCCCTCCCTTCAATAGGTTTTGCCAGAGAGATCCTAGGACGCTGCTTACTTTATAGTATGAAAAACATAAGCCGTGCTACTAAGATCTGAGTTCAGATTCCAACTCCACCACTGTCTTCTTATTTACAAATGTAGACGTTATTTATTCCCAAGCCTCTTGAGTGAAACTGCAATGATGTCACCTACCTCATAGTGTTTAACAAAACTTAGGTGCCAGTACAAAACAGTTTTCAATAAACGTTAATCCCATTCCTTCCTTTCCTAGCATATACTAAGTGGTGAGGTTTAAGTGAATAATTCTTTTGTTTTAAAACATCACCTGAGTTTTAAATCTCATCAATTAACGGTTAGGATGAATGAAGAAACTATCAGAAGACTGAGATACGGGTATTTTTCACCAATTCATGTCGTATGAGGATCTGTTACTTTTCTCTCCTTGCTGAGATAAAATACCTACATCCAAAATCAAAGGGGAAAGGTTTATTGGCTTATAGTTCATAGGGGTTTCAGACGATAATCACCTGGCTCCAAGGCAGGGTGGCTAGGGGCAACAGTTCATGGCAGCAGAAGACAGCAAAAGCAACAAAGACTTAAACAGTATCTTCCTGCCCCTTTTATCTTATTCAGAGGACTACTTAGGGCGGGCAGCACTCAGGCCCTTAATCCCAGTGCCCGCAGGCCTAGCCTCTCCACATGTCAATCACACACTCTAGATTCAGCCACCTCTGAGAAAGCATGAGGCTTTGTGGGGACATCTAAACCCAAGCCACGACAATCTGCTTAATCAAACTGCAGAAAAAAGAGGAATGTCCAAGAAAGTTTCATAGCCTGAGCTGCTTTGGTAATGGGCTTACATGGTAAAGGGCCACAATGACACCCCTGGATAGTGCCAGGAACCGTCCTAAAGACACTAGGCCCTAGGAAATGTGCAGAAAGATGACATGACAGAGAAGTGACAAGTTTGCTCCTGTGCCTGGTTCTTCCTCCCCATTACCTGTGAAATCTGGAAGCAATGGGAGAGATGGGTAAACTGTTTCTACCTACAGTGAGAGCTACCAAAAGTGCTTTCTAGGAAAAAATTCTCAGAATGAAGTATACGACTGAAATGACGTGTGTGCAGGGTGTGTCTTATCTCCACACATCTGCAGGCAACATGCAGCAATGCTAACCAGTTTGGGAAGAACTCTGGAGAACACTACATCCCCACACTGAATGTCCTTATAAAACTCATACACCTACACATCAGGGAGACTGGGGGCATCTAGGGGTGACAGCTCTTGCCCACATCACAAGTTCTGACAGCAGGTTCCATCTTCAGGCTCATGCCTCATGCTGAAGAGACAAATTCTACAGTAAGGGTCAGCTGACAGTCCTCAAAGAATGGTTCACTTCCACAGGGTGCAAGTCACTGAGTCTGCGAGTATGACAGGTGCTGTACCCATATGTAAAAGTAGGGTACACACAAGTGTTACGCCTGTATTATACTTGTTTTATAGTGAAGAAATGAACAACCATGCAGCCAAGGTTACTTGGAGCTCCCGCAGGAACAGGAGGTAGGAAATTAAAGCAGCCAGAAGATAGGAGCATGCCACTCAAGGGAGGAAAGTCCGACCGAGTGGGAACCTATGGTGCCTGTCTATCCTCTGATGCTTCCTAATTGTAGGTGGACTCTAGCAGTCTCAGGATAGGACTTTAGTGAGTACTGATAGTCCACTAAAACATGTGGGATGACCATGAAAGAAAACAGATGCGTGAGCCAAACTGGTATTAACAACATTTAACTCTGCTTTCTGCTTCTTACCTTCATGTTACCTTCCCATTGTCCCGTAAGTGAGAACAAGCAATGTTCATTTCCACAATCTTTCTACAAATACACCGTGTGAGCCTGCTTTCAAGATGATGTGTATGGTTTGTCCAGCTCCTTGGTATCTCCGAGGAGAAAAGCTGCACCATCTCCTATCCCTTTCTTCCATCAAAAGTGTGGCTGCTTTAGTAAATTTCTGGGATTAAAGATGCTGACCTATCTGGACCAAAAATCTCCTCTCATTTAGTACACTTGCTAAATTGAATGGTGGATAAATTCTTCCTTAAACAAATTCAACCAAAAGCTACTGGTTAATTATCTCCCACCATACAGATTCATTGACTGTGTCAACATTTTACAAACACAGAAAGCCTGCACATTGCTCACACTGTCAAGTACAGAAAACACAAATAACAGCCTGCCTACCTGGGAAACCAGGCACACAGGGAAGGGAAGGGTGGTTAATGTTCTTGTACTTCTCTGTTCTGCTGCTGACAGTAAAAACCAAGTCCTAGGCCTGTTGTCCAGTGAGCTGAAAATGCCACCAGTCCCCTTGGGGAAGCAGCCAGACTAGAAGAGATTCCTTAACCATAGCATTTCATTCTCTGTCCCTTCAAACGCACACCTTTGCTGTTCTTAATCTTGTTTTCTGCTGTGGTAGCTCCTTCACTGCAGATTCAAACCCTCACGATTTTTACATTTTCTTAGGTCTTGTTTCTGATTTCTACATACTATGGTTATCTATTAATGTCACAAAAGTGACAGAACACAAAACTGGCTGATAACTCACAGGTTCTTCCTTTTGTTTTCTGTATGATTATTCTAAAATGTTGGTCAACCACCAAGAATGATTTAGTTATGTCTCACACTGGCCATGAGTCTCCATTTTACCTCATAAAATTCTGTGACGTTTGTCATGCATTCTTTTTACACATTCTTTGGGGTGTGACCATTAAATCCTCTTCTGCTTATAATGGTCTTCCTAAATTTTCACTAGCCTCAACCCTTTGCTACCTTTCCTCCTCTGACATTTTCACTGCTCCTCTGTCCAGTTTCATGCTGTCCTGCTCACATAAGATGGATATTTATGCACATACACAAAACCCGATTTCCTTCTGAGCAGATATATACCTCTATGTTACATGCACAAAACACAACTTCCTTCTAAGTAGACATATGCTTTATATGTGTTCAAGATACTGTTCTATAAAAACTGACCCATTCAGGGCCGGTGATTTAGCTCGGTGGCACTGCACCTGCGTCTCAAGCACAAAGTCAGCCCCCAGTACTACCCACCCAAAACAAAAAAACTAAAATTGACCCATTCAAAGACTTTGTGGAGCAGTAAATATAGTCAGAGACATCAAATCATCTGTTCTCTAGACTTGGGGTGTGCTAATTAGGCCTGCGCCAAGAAGACTGCTGAGTATCTCTTGTCTGAAACCCCTGGAACCCAACATGTCTCAAATCTCACAGATTAAGGGTTTACAAATATTTGCATAATTTTTGTCTGAGTGTCCCTCATATAAAAATTTAAAAATGTGAAATCCTCTGAACTCCAAAACTTTCTGAGCATTTACATCTGTGCCCATTTTGGATTTTAGAGCACTTTGGAGCTTTTCAGATCAGGGATGCTTAACCTGTACAACTTTACTAGATAACATATCTCACTGTAAGTCTTCATACTGTGAAATGTGGTTCTTTTAAATTTCACCATACTTCTCCACAGATGGGCAGATTGGAAAGTGTCTCAGGCACAGTTTATATAACCTGGTCAAACAATTCATGAATATTCATTGAAGCAAATGATTTGCAAAAATATTCCTTTTAAAAAAAAATTTAGAATCCTCCAAAATGGTAGCCTCTAGTTTTTAAAAAAACGGATTTAATCAAAACAAAGCATTAGTGTTATTATTTATACTTAAAACATTAGTGTGATTATTCAAATAAAACACTTGTTACCATTAATCTTAAATCTGGATGTATGTTACCTAGCACTTTTGCAGTAACTTAAAACCAACATTATTAAAACAGGCACTATGTGTGTGGTACTCACCTTTCACCTGATGGAATTGTTTAACCAGGTCTTTTATATCCAGAGACGTATTCCCTGAAAAATAAGTACAGAAATTACAGATAAATAAAATTCTCAACTTAAAATACTTTTTGAAGCAACAAATACATAATCTAAAGCAACAGCAAAAGAAATAACAAACCTTCTCTAAACATTGTAAGTTCTTTAAAATAAACTGCTGCAAACTGGGTGATGTTTGATGGATTGGTTTTGAGAACAGCTCTGCTAATTCCCTCAAGCAGAGTCTTGAGGCCATAGGGCACGACAAGTCTGGATTTGGAAGAAATCATTTTGGCAGGATGTCTGTAACCTCAACTGTAATGAAGAGAAACAAAACCTTACATACAGTATACTAATTTTCTATTAAAATACTTCGTATGCATTACTGTTTTCCAAGAACACATCTACTTTTAAAATTAGCCCGATGTGGTGGTGCAAACTTGTAATCAAGTGTAATCATTACACTTGTAATGGTGCCATGAGTTCAAGGTCAGCCTGGGCTAATCAGTTCAAGGCTAGCCTGAACCACGTAGTGAGACCCTGCCTCAAACTAAAAATTAACTTTAAATCTAATCTCTACGTATTTTAGTAAAATGGGTCAATTCTTGATGGTAGGGGGAAAAAATCCATTACCGCCTGCTTACAAGGTCCAGATAAGCAATACTGTATAGTACTAGTGAAAATAATCCACAGGGAAAGTCCTACCAGAATTCCCAGGATGATTGAAAAACAAAGAAAAAACCAAATGATAGCTCCTGTATCTGTTTCTAAATAACTGCACCAGGACTGATTTTTCTGTACAGTTACAAAACAGTATTACCAAGAAAAAGTGACTTTTCCTCTAAACAGATCCCAACATGTATGTTGCCCATTTTTATGGATTTTTGCTCAGTTTTTATTTTGTTACCATTCAAAGTATGTTATCCCCGGTTTACTATGCCACTCACCACCATCTGTGCCTCTTTCTTGTCTCATACCCGTTCTTAACCTCTGCCCTCATCTTCCCATCTCCTCCTCCTCCTGCCCTTCTAAGTGCTACCAAGAGCACACTCCACAGTCGAAGCAGTAATTCTCAGAGGTGCAGAGGGTGTCGATCTTATACTGTGTTCTCATTCTAAAAATTTATTTACGAAGGCTTGTAATCCACGTAATGAAAATTTTAACATTCCATTCAGGGATAAGGGGAAAATTAGGTAAAAATGAAGCTAAGGGAGGGAGAGACGTGCACCTCCGTGCAAAACATAGGTCCTTCACTTTGCAGGAGATCCAAGAAGCTATTACAAAATAGGAAACAGGTAAATGGCTGCTTTCCCGAAGATTTAAAAAAAAAGCAACATAAAAAAACCGAGTTGCTCGGAAGAATCATAGCTGCTCTGGATACGGAGCCCCAGGAGAAACTTCTCCCAGCTAAGCAGAACGATTTGTTACAGCAATTATACAGAGGGACAACTGATAAAAAGGAACTAATATGCCTTAGAAAAGCGTTGAATATTCAAAAGGACACTTTATCTTCCCAAAAGGTCAGGACAAACCCGTGTTGGCCAGGTGAAAATGGACACCAGAATATCGTTCATCGGGAACTTTACTGAATGAAGCCGTCTTTTAAAAACAGCGGCTGGAGCTGGCTCACAGGCGCGCACCACACACAGGATGTGATGATAAATGCTAAAAGCGCTCTTTAGTCTATTAGCAGTCGGTGCTACCATCTGTAGCGAGCGCGCCCAGTTCTTAACTCGGCGGTAGTTCTCACCCCTCCTCTGGGCTCGCCTGGGGCGGGGGAAGCACCTCCTAGAAAGATCTGTCCCGCTCGAGCTGAGAATAGGGTGGCACCGAGTAACGGCGCCAACGGGTAAAATGCGGCCACAGATTCAGCTCTGGAGGACCGTTTCCGAGACTGCTTAGGGACCCTCCGCCAACGTCTCCTTTCTAGACGGTCGGAAGTCAACCGTCCCCACGACCGCGGGGTAACGCTTCGGGCAACGACACCGAGGGGCTTCCGGGCCACAGAGGACGGAGACGGTACACGCCACGCCCTCTCTAAAGACCCCGGGGGTCGGGCTGGGTTTGTTTTGCCCACTGGTTTTCGTGCGGGGGAGAGAACTGTGAAAGATGCGGGACACAGCGAGCCGAATTCGCGTCGTCCTTACAGGGCGGGCGTCCCGCCGGCTTCTCCCACAGCCTCCCACCCCGGGAACCTCCGCCTCTCCCTTCGCCTGAGACGCGCCAAGGGCCTGACTCCAGGGCACTGGTTGGACCTTTCCCGCGGACTCGTCCCACCTTCTTTCCGGCTAGGATTTATAGAGCTTCCTCGTTGACCCCTCGCCGGCGGCTCCTGAAATCCATGAGCCGGTGGGGCCTTTTATAGCCCTGGAAACCGTCATGGTGTGCGTCACAGAGCTCCGCCCCTCACGGGCCACTTCGGGGCGCCACGTGAGGAGGCGGAGCCACGGAGCCCCAGCCAATAGGGAAACCGGACGGAACAAAGGGGAGTCCTTTGTGCACGGGGGTGGGGGGTGGAGGGGGTGGTAGTGTGGTGAACCTTCCGATCTTCTGTCCCTCCACCTAAGGAGCTAGTTTGGAAGGAAAGCAATAAATCTGTGGCAGTTCTGTCACTGTCCATTCCACACACTCCTTGCCCTTAAATTACTCTTGGGCCACCTCCTGAAAATTTTCTGCCACAGCGCACACACTTGACACTTTCTCTTTTGAGAAACTCGTTTGCGGAATGAGTATTAAACCTGAAACTTTATGTTTCTCCATACGAAGGATCAGGCATTGTGTGTCCCCACCAAATCATACCGTCAATGACAGGTCACAAGTCAAGAAGTAACTTAAACTGTTTTACCAAATTAACAAAATGATGCCTCATTTAGAAATACCCACTCTAGATGGGTAGGGGAGGGGTAATAAGGGGAAAGAAAAGAATGTGAGAAAATGAAAAGATGGAAATAAAGTGTTTGTAAATGGGGAGGTAAGGAGGGGGGTGAAGGGAGGGCAGGGACAAGGGGAAAAAATGAGAACCAAGACCTGTCGTGTAGAGGTACAAGATTCCAGTAATGAATGTAACTGTGCTGTCTACCTAGAATGTACCAATAAACTCAATTTTTAAAAAAGGAGAAATACCCACTCTCTCCTCTTTCACCCATTCAGGTTCAAGTTATCTGTGCTGGGCAGTGGGTAATACCACAAGCACAATTACTGGATTCTAAGCAGTCTTTGCTGTAATCCATCTTCCAAGTGTTCAAAAAGCAACATGAAGCCCTGTAAATCAATGATTAAACAACTTCAGGGACATATGCCTGACGCTCCCAATTTAATTCAGAAAAAAAGGGTTCCAAAGCATTTTGCAATAAAAGGCAATGTTAAGGCCCGTCTCTACCGTACCCAGGCTACTACAGAATCTTTAAATGCTCTCTTCCATAGGTCTATGTTGGTACATTTTGAATCGTCATTTGCCTGTGCCCCCTACTGTAGTAAATAAAAAGATTACCTGTTATGATTCCTGAAAGTTTGCCATATAATACACTTAAGGACCAACGATTGTAATGAGCTGAGCTGCTGAAAATTCTTAAGTACTAACTTTACAGAGACCCACTGCTGTGTCTTCCAAGTGGAGAGCTTTACGGTTGTGTAGCCCATCTGGAGGTCATCTTGAATAGCTATCAAGGGCGAGGTACTATACAGAAAATACCTATGATTCCGAAACAAAGCCTTTATTTTTTTTTCATTCCTTCAAGGACTTTTCTGAGTCACTCTGAAATGCAAATTGTTACAGTGAAAACATTTAACCAAGAATTTTCAAACCACTGCCCAGTTGCAGTTGATTTCTTGATCATTTCATTAGGAAATGATCTGATGTGGCTTCAGCCTTGCTGTCCTTGCGTTCATCTGCCATTTGGTCAATAGTGATCTAACAGAAAATGCAAGTGCACCTTTTTTCCACTGTCCCCCTCCCTACATCCCAAATCTTTACCCTAGAGAAGCCGAGTTCTTGGTGTGGTGTGCGTGCTTCCCTAGCTCCTTCTCACCTCCTTCCCACTGAACTCCCCAGAGCCTTGGACACACGTGCTGTTTGTTAGTTGTGCTTTAGCTTATTAGGTCCAAGATCTCAGAGGCCCCACCAGCCATCGTTTTCACCTGCCTGCACCCTTCTGCGCCTTTAAAACTCAGAAGTCTACTTCAGGAAGCAAATGGGTTAGAAGCATTTCCTTCATGGCTCAATAACTCTGTGGCCAGGCTTAATCTACCTAGGCAGTTCTGTGAGCATTTGACTCTTCTGATTTACTAAATACAAAGGATGATAGCCTAGCCATACTGCATTACTTCTCTAATCCAGACCTATACTGGAATCATTCCAGGAGCTTGTTTATAACGCTGCCTCAAGCCTCAGCTGCAAAGCCTGCTGAATCAGAACAGCAAGAGGGCTCGTTTGTGAGACACAAAAATTGAAAACTGCTGGCCACAGGGACAAACAGATGTTACCCAGAGGTCACGTGGGCCACACGTGGTGGCGTTCCTGCCTCATACCCAGGTCAACAAGGAGACAGAACTCAACTCCTTACAGGTTTTCAGAAGAAAGTCAGATATGATGCTACATCTACGGACCATTTTTCCATTCTCATGTTCCTGTTGCCCTTTTCTGTTTCTGCACTTTTAAGTCACTGTCTCTGGTATATATTTTCTTAGGATGATCTGGGCTTAGCAATTTCCTTTCTCCATGATATACCAGCCACAGAAACCAAAATAGTGCATCATGATGGCATGACAGTATCTTCATAAAGCCACATTTTGAACGCCTGACACCACTGTTACTTAAAGAGGAAGTCAACTAGAAAGGTGTGCATGGTAAAGGAAATGTGTGTATGGTTTTTAAAAATCAGATATACATTGTTATTTGATTTTAGTTGGCTGAAATATACACGTAAAAATTCAGTAAATAATTGACTTCTGTAATATGACAATACTCTAATTTTCTCTGACACCTGAAAGTTATAATTGTTTACTCAGTAGAAGACTTAGCTATCATTTACAAAAACAAAAAAGATGCCTAACCCAACAAAGATAAAACTTTAACTGTATTAACCAGTATGGTACATATGACATCATTCTTACTAGACCATGCCTCCAAGTCTGTCAAACTATAAAAAAGCGTTCAGCATACATAAAATATACATTAGAGATTTCTCTCATCTTAGGCACAATCTAATACAAAAATATATCTGACATTTATAAGTTAGAAGTTCCATTTGAGTGATGGCAACAACAAAAAAGCAACAGCACACACAGATGTGAACAGTTCTACTTATATGATTATTTATGATTACTTATATAAGTTCTACTTATATGATTATTTTCTCCATCAGCAGGGGAAAAGAGCAACTTATACCAAGCCAAGTTACCAAGCAGATCAGAGTGTTCACAGGTTAGGCGACTCACAGCTTAAAGGCCAGGTAACAGTTAGGATTACTCAACTCACTGTACACTCAGGCTTCCCAACCTCAGGGTCCAGCGTACTCACACTGTGGTTTTACTATTTGGTGTCTTTGGAATCTCCCGCTACTCACTCTCCATGGTCTCTCACTACAGATGCACCACAGGGGTTATCTGAAGTGAGGCTGGAACATATCTGTGCTTTGACTAGGAAAAAAAACAAAATTGTCTATCCAGTGAACATGAGTAAAGTGACTCGAAATCCTGAAATCCCTAAGGGGAAATGAAAGGAATTTTTACAGTAACTTATGTAAAGATACATTTTGTTAAAAAACTGAATGCACAAGACTCTAATCTTTGAATATGGAATAACAGAATAATATTTGAACTGAAAATTCAAGTACGTGAGAACATCACAATTCAGAAGGCTCCACGATCCTAACAGAAAAGTCTGCAGCATATACTATGGGTGAAGAAAAGAAGGAAATGATAACAGGTGCATCTGAAAGATTCCTACTGCTCTTCCCTGTAGTCACCTCCCAGTATTTCTGGACGCTAATTTCTCCCTTCAGAAGCAATTTTTCTTTCTGGCTTCTGGATGAACTCATTCAGTGAATTCAGAGTACCAATCTTTTCTTTCTTGCTGGCATCAAAACTCCATACACATCCTGCAAGTTGATTACAGTTTAACCCCTTCCGCACCCATATTGTGACCCGGCTGTATAAATCACCCGACAAAGGGCGTTGGTGGCAATCCACTCACAACCCTTCTGCCTCTCAGGAGCTATTTCTATTTCCCAAAAAACCTTTCTCACTCATAAAAAATAAAATCCAGGGCCAGGGATTTAGCTCAGTGGTTCTGTCGCCTGCCTTGCAAGCACAATGACCTGGGTTCCATCCCTGGGACCATAAATAAATAAATAAACAAATAAATAAATAAATAATCCACACAATTCACAGCAGGAAGTCAATCTGAATAAACACTTTGGGGATTTGTCCGCTCAAAAGCGATCAGTAAGAGATGAGGAAACATAAAATGATGGGTTAGCAAAGTCGGTGAGGGGTAACTTCTTCCAAAGAAATTCTTCCTCAAAACGAGATTAAATCTGGCAGCATTCTAGCTCTTTTTCTTACACTTCATTTTATAAATATTTAGGTATTAACATCACATGAGCTCATGTGCCAGCCAAAAAGATAGTAAATGAATGATACGCTAAAATGATACTTTAGCTCAGTATAAATTTTTTAAAAACTACTTAAAGATGAAGCCACATCATGACAAAGATTTTTAAAAGCGACTGAGGTATTTAGATCCTTCAAAAACACAAGTGTTCAGTACTGGGCATAGAAGTAAAGTAAATATTGATAAAAATCAGCAATGAATGGATAAGAGAAATAAATTTGAACTGCTTTTAAAATACCAATCAACCTGAGCTAGGGTAAAATGATTAAATCCCGGCCCAGCAACTAACTTCACCATCAAATATTCTGAAGCAAAAACCTACATTCATTTAATAACCCTTCTGATACATTTGTTAAAAGATTTCCCAAAAGTTGATCAAGCAATTTTCACAGAAGAGAAATTCCTAAAATGTAGGTGTTATTTACCTAATCTGCAGACTAGGATTTCTAATAGATTAGCTCACAATTGTACTTTTGGTTATAAAATTGTCTAGATCTGCTCTAGCTTGGTTGGCTCTCAAAGAAAAAAAGTGCTCATCACTTTGAAACATTTTGTAGGCAATGTGGAGATGAATTATTTTAGATGTCACTACTTTGGTTGAAGAACACTTGTTCTTTTAACATGTAAATAAAATATGGAATTCTTGGATATTAACGTGTTTGGGTTTTTTTTCCTTCTCTATAAAATAACATTCACTTGGTAGCCAGGAAATTCATTTTTCCATTCATTGCCCCACTAATACCAGGAAGAGTTAACTGGAGTAAGTCAATTCTCCTTATTGTGCTTGAGTTTCACTGTCTGTA